ACAGTAGATATATTCGTTCAGAGAAGTGAATGGTTGGCAAAACTTTATACATAGCAGGTAATCATAGTTACTTGTGATTTTTAACCAAAATGTGTACTTCATAATGCCCGCACTGGAGTATTACAAGAGACCATAAATGTTTTCTTAATCATCACAGCAAGATTACCTCATGTTCAGTAAAGTTTTAGTTTTGTACGTATCTTACAGTATTTACATTCTGCAATTATTTGTGATTCTGATGTCAGATATGATAGCTTTGTTACCTTGAATTGCTTTGTTACCTTGAATATATAACTAACCTAAATAATTTTGAATTAGTTGGTTTAAATGAACTACAGTATTTAGTTATCTTTTTTTCCTTTGAAAGATATTATTGGACATGCCATATAAATGTTAGTATTGGCTTAATACATACCAAAACTTGCCATAGCACGTTTCTCCTCAGACTACCCACTTATTAAAAGTATTTCTTTTTGGTGGATCCAAATAAGGTACTGACTTTTGATTCGTATTTGTTTATGCTATGTTCATTGAAAGTGGTGTTTTCGTAATGGTATTCAGTCAGTGTAAATTGGTCCTTGGGAATGGACATGTAGGTTACACAGTATGTAGGGAAGAATGCGGGTGAATGTGTTTGCTTTGGATTGGAGCTTACTGAGTTTTGACTGATTTTTGTCAGTTACTTGGTAGAAGGCATTTTTATTAATATTGGAACTTTTTGCAGAGTAGAGGACTACTGAAAATCTTTTTTTTTAACATTTCAAATATTTCTGAGGTACCAAAGCACTGAGTCTAATTCACATTTTAAAGACTCTTTAAAATCAAATTTGAAACTGATACCATAAGATAGATAATAGCTAAAGTTTTGGAGTAATTTATATTGAAGCCATTAGTCTCTAGAAACCTCTGTATGTAATATAAAGAGATTTGGGCATAATTTTTTAAGTATTTAAAATTAATTACCTTAGCACTACTCTATATTAGATGTGTGACCTTTGTGTAAATCATCACCTTTGGGCCTCTATTGCCTTACTTAAAATAATTGTAATGTGTTCTGCCTACCTCGCAGGGCTGTTGTGAGGAATAAAATGAAATGGAGTATGTGAAACTTGTTTCAGCAAAAGTAAAGTGCTATATAAATGTAAGGTGTTATTTTCAGTTAATAATGTATTTGTTTGGATACTTTAAAATGCCACTTTGATAAGGCATGTTCTTAATTAAAGTGGTATCACCAGTGATTTCAAATATAATTTTTTTTTTGTATCAGGAATTCAACTCAGGACCTTGCACTTGCCAGGCAGGTGCTTGTGCCGCTGAGCTATATCCCTGGCCCTCCGAACGTAATTTTAAAAAGCAGCCTATTAAAATGCCCTTTAACATTTAGTTTGTGCATGACTCATGGCCTTTTCATATTATCCTCTGTTTTCAAGTCTAGAGCTATAGAATTTCTCCCACAGTATTAGCGTGTCAGTGTCACTTAGAACAATAACATATATAAGCTACTTTTCCTGCCAGGAATTTGCAGTTTTAAGACTGTTCTGTGCCACATGCAAAGAGTGAACTTGACCTAAATAATTCTTCCCAGCCTAATGATTCAGCTGGATAAAGTACATGTGATTAACATTTGACAATTTGTGTTGTCATTTTTCAGAAAATAAGATAAAGCATTTCAAAATCTTGTTGGGTTAACATGGGTACCTTTTATTATTGTTTCTGATTTAAAAATACAGATTTTGGTTATGTCTCTTACCAGGTCATGGTCTTGCTATGCAGTTGTGATAATGAAAATCTTAAACTTCTCAGGTTTAACCTAAGTTTGAAGACTATTAACAAACTACGTGTGTACACAGTGCTGAAAAATAAGTGTTTTAATGAGAACATAGCCTCATTTTCCCTATAAATAAAACAAAGCCCTTTAAATGCTTTTTGGACTTGAAAGTAGGCTATTCAATGTGGAGAAATTTGTATGTTGAGGTGATTGTATGTTACGTGTAGAATGTCTCAGTTTAAGTTTTTACAAAAGCACCTGGAATATCTCAAGTAAAAATTAAACTTCTTGTTTTCTTTTGCTTCACTGCTTGATCAACTTTTATTTAAAATCTACACTGTATTTGTGAGGATGAGAATATTTAGAAGTCCTAATCTTTTTACCCAAAACATTTTATAACTGTTGTATAACAGAATGTTTATGTAATGATGAAAAGTCTGTACTTGTGTTAATATAGTGGCCACTAGCCACAGGCAGCTAATGTGACTAATGTACTAAGCAAATGAATTGTAAATTTTAATTTAAACACGAAGACGTGCTTGTTTCTGACAGCTATAGTTTTATACAGTGCAGTGATAGAAAATGAAACATGCTATACATAACCATAATATAAATTAGAGATTTCATTTCTTTGAAGCTTGTTGTATCTTGGATTACACTGTCATAGTAAGACAGTCAAAATCAGAACCTAAACCTGTATCTTTTTAAAGTTTGTATTCTAACTTAAAAACAAGTTTACAAGATAAAAGAACACCAATCACTGACTATGTGAAATGAAGCTGCTCTATCTAAGATAATTTCTACGAAGAGAAAGACAAAAGGAGACTGGCTGGAGAATAGCATGTTTCATTTTCTATCACTGCACTGTATAAAACTATAGCTGTCAGAAACAAGCGCGTCTTTGTGTTTAAATTAAAATTTACAGTTCAGTTGCTTAGTACATTAGCCACATTAGCTGCCTGTGGCTAGTGGCCATTATATTAGCACAAGATATATAGTAGCACAAGACACTGAGAAACCAGTGCCATCATATAGAAATATGGGTATCATGCAGGTACAAAATTTCTGGAGTATCCTATCACATTGGTATAACATTTCTGGAGAACAGTTTAGCAAAGCTAAGCTTTTAAATGCATATACCTTTAAAAAGTCAATTTCTTCTCTGTGTATTTCTCCTGCATATTTACTTGCAAGCCTATATACATTATAGTATTATGATAGTAAAATGTAAGCAAACTGATGGTTAACTGAAAAAAGACAAATCTACATATCCCTGGAGGTACTTTTTTTCCTTTTTTTCATAGCTAGGCAGAGCTAGCCTGACAGGCCTAAATTAAGAAAAGAATGGGCTATCAGAATTTTGAAGACTACCCTTTTCCAACATTCAGCTCCAGCTAGCTACTGTAGCTGGCTTCCTTACTTAGAGCCTTTTCCTTTGTATACCAGTCTTGCTGGGAACTCTGTGTGCTAAGAGACTGGGAAATTATGTGCACTCATTTTCCTGTCCAAGTTTTTCCTTATTATACTGCATAGTACTAATAGTGTGTTTGTGCCTGTTTTACACAAGGACTGATAGAGGACTTTCATGTAAGCCTTCACAGCTGATAAAAGATACGCCATCAGGAAAGCTGTCCAGCAATATATGATGCCATGAATGTGTGCATGTACTCAGACTTGAGTTAGAGAAGGTCCTGATCTGATTTCCACACTCTTGGCTGAGCGTGGACTGAGAAACGGGTACTTATGCACATGGATGCCCCAGTTTGCACATCCAAGTAACTGTTCTACTTGGGTTTCTCTGCCCACTTCTAGACTTGCACCCCATAGCTGCTACCTCAGCATTCCTTGCCTAATCAGCTGGAAGGTTGCTCTTAGGACATTTGTAGGCCTCTTCCTAAAGTCCACCCTGAGAAAAGAATATACTGTAGGTGTATATACCTTGTCTTTGTCACTTTCTCATCACTAGGACAATATACCCGACACCCTTAACTTAAAGGTTTATTTTCGTTCAGTTTCAGAAGTTTCAGTCCATGGTTGGCTGTCTCAAACACGGAACAGCACGGTGGGAGGGCCTGCTGGGGAGAAAAGCTGCTCACATCACGGTTAACAGGGTGCAGAGAAAGGAAGAGCTGGGGAGGAAGATACACTTTTCCAGGCCACACACCCGCCACCCAGTGAGTCCCCTCTAACCAGGCCCCACCTCTAAGGGCACACTGGGCTGCTGAATTCGTTAGCCATGAATGTAGCACCCCATCATCCAGCTGAGAGCACTTCTACACTCATCTTGCATATACGCAGAAAATTTCCGGAAGGCAAAATAAAAACGATAACCATGAGGAGGTAAGGGACACTTCTTATTTCTGTAATACAATTTTAAAAACCAAAGATTAGAAAATGAAGGGAATACTTCGTTTTTACTACAGACTGATGGTAATTTTTGTAAAGAGCTTAAAACGACAGTAATTTGTTCGTTTCGTTAGTTTTCAAAAATCCACATCAAAGCATTCATACCTGTTTCTTAATAATTCTTTGTATTTCCAGCCTTCAAGTGGCAGATAACAGTCTGCCGGAGCTTGGGTGTCATGCGGGAAACCCGCCGTGAGCAATATAAAACGCAGCCAGTCTTTCATCTTGCTCTTTGTAAAAATTATTTAGATACGGCAGCTCCAGTCTCATGTAGTCATCGGTTGGTATTTTATCTCCTAAACTTGTTTCAAGTTTGTTTATGTTCAGGTTTCCCGCAGCACACCCAGCTTCCAGCAGACTGTCATCCCCGATCTCAGCTAATAGCATGCAAACCACAGTTCAGGGAGTTGTCCCGAGTCCCTCTCTGATTAGCACATGCACACACACAAAAAGAATAAAATCTTCTTTATCCGAAGTTTACATTTAGCTGGCGGTCTGTATGTTTTCTGGCGCCGAGGCAAACAGCTCAGCGGGTGCTACTGCACCGCGCAGCGGCAGGGTTTCCTAAAGGCTCTCGCTGCCTCGCGGCGCTGCCGCGTTACCTACGCAGCAGGTGGAAGGGATCTCGCTGTGGCTAGGTTTCTAAAGCTAGGAACTTGCTAAAGCTCAGCAAGCGTCCGCGGCCAGACTGCGACAGGAGCGCGAGACGAAGCAAGACCAGGTTTACCACGGAGACCTTCAGACACCACACCGGCCGCACTTGACGGCCCCTTTTGCGGCGGTTGCCGTGAGTGCCGTAGAGCGAGCTGCGCCGGGGCTGCGGAGTGACGTAACGTGCCCGGTGTGGCGCAGGGTTGGTGGGCGTGGGCGGGCGCCTTCGGGCCCTTTTAGCCGGTTGCTTGGTTCCTTCCCGGGGCGGCTCCTAGCCTCTGGGCTCTTGGCTTCCCCTCGGCGGGCAGGAGACCGAGGCCGGACGCAGGCTGAGCGCGCTCCCGGCTCGGTGCTCTTCAGAGTCGGTCCCGAGCATCCTGCGGTCCACGTTCTTTCGGCCGGTTCTTTCGCGCTCCCTGGAGTTGTCAGCAGGTACAGTTCCCGCTTCGAGACAGGTTCACTTTTGGAGAGTGATCGAGGTACGTATCTAGAAGCCGGGAGAGCGGGGTGGGGGGAGTGGGGTGAAAGTCGACTTAGAATTTGCAAGGGGGTCCCCGGAGAGAGCATTTCAGGTTGTGGGATCCACGTTTGCAGAAGTGCGGAAGCGGGAGAGGAACCGCAGGTTTGGGCAGCTGTGCATGCACGTTAGTGTCGTGGCTGGGAGAATGAAGTCAGGAGGAAGGGAAGGCGGGAGTGTGACGGAAGCTCACGCTGGGTCCCAGCTGGCGAAGCCTGCGCCGACTGGACCCGCGCGGGAGTGAGAGGTTCCGCGTGCAGCGCGGAGCTGTGACGGCGCTCCCCGCCGCCGGTGCTGAGGGGTGAACCCACGGTCTTCGCCCTGAGCTGCATCTCCAGTCTTTCTATTTCGAATTTTGACTGAGTCACCAGGTTGCCTGTTTTGGTCTTGAACTTGCGGTTCTCCTTCCTCCTGCCTGTGCGGCTATTCCCAGCTGTCAGAATTGTGGCGAGAGGTAGTTTGATTGTCCGTCTCTCTTGATGCTCCTCCCTGCGTTCAGCTTTCATTTCATTTGGAGAAGTATAGACCATTCTTGTGCTCAATGTTAGGGTGGACGCTGCTTGCCGCGCTAAATAAAGTTTCAGGTGCCCTTGGTATCTGCGTTTTGTTTGCATTATCATTGGGAGAATGCCGGGAAAGATCGGGTATGTGTAGGGGTGAGTGTTAGAAACTGCACAGAAGATAAAAGTCTGGAGAACAAGATTCAGACTGCGTCCCTATCACCAATATCTCAAGTAATATTAGGCAAGACACTTTTCTCCTGGACTCAGTTTTCTCCGATCTGGGAGAGGACCTAGATGACATCCGAGAGTCTTTCTACCTTTGAAGATAGCAGATTTCAAACACGCAAAATCAGTCTATGAACAACTACCAAAGTGAGTGCTGGGCAGTACATTAGGAATTGGGAAAAGAGGGAAGCCCAGAAGGAAAGGCTGTGATCGAGTTGGACTCTGAGGAGGAATAGGCTTTGAGTGATTAGGAACCATCTCTGGTTGACCACTGTGAATAAAGATACAAAGTCAGGTATAACACTCATATTTTAGGATCTATTTGTTAGAGGTCTGTTAAGTGCTGGTCAAGGATTTGGGAAGGATGGTGTTGAATGACTAATTAACTCCAATAGGAAGAAAGTACAGTGATCTATAGAGGAAGAAGAAAGAAATGAGAGGAATATCTCAAGGACAGTAACACTGGACTTGATATTTTTGGATCTAGGTGATAGTTTTTTTCTAGTGCTAAGGATTGATCCCAGGTGTATACACACATTTTAGGCAAGTGCTCTACCACTGAGCTGCATCCTTAGCTCTAAGATTTTTTAAATGTTATTTTTATTTTATTATTTTGCATATTTATTTAGTGTTTGCAGTGCTGGCTTTGAGCTTAGGACCTCTGGCATGCTAGGCAAGCGCTCAGCTACATGCCTAGCCCTTAGATAATTTGTATTTTGAGTGTGGGTTTCTAAAAAGTGTATCTAAGTGTTTTTGAAAAAAGTGAGAATTCTGTTGAATTCGAGCAGGTAATACTTGGGTTGAGAGTAAAGTGATTTGCATTATACCTCTGGTGTTGCCAATAACTAGGCACTTGACTGTCATTTAATTCTAGATCCTATTCGTTGTGAAGTGATGTTGGGCCAGGCAGTTTGTTTTCTAAAACTTGTAAATCTTGAGTGTGTAAGAATGGAGACCTACCTATTTCTGGAGGAGGAAAGAGAGACAGTTGATGGGAAATAAAATAGTTAATTTTGAGCATTAAATTTGAGATATAGGCAATAAAATTGAAAATATAGACAGAACATAGAGACTGAAATTTAAGTAGTGAATTTTTTTCCCAGACGTGCTAGTTAAAAATCTCCAGAATGGATTTGCTTTGAAGAAGGGAGAGGAACAGAGAGGAACTATAGGATGCACTGTAAGAGTCTAGTATTGAAGAGTGCATCTGGATTTTAGATCTAGGAGTAAGGGTTTATTTTTTATTTTTTTTAATAAGGGTTACTTATAGATTCTAGGGAATCATTGTTATTGGTCTAATATTAAGCTCTCACTTCTGAGAACTCTGGCAGAAATAAACAGCTCATTGTAGATGTAATTTCCACTGCTTCTCTGATTATCCAGAAGTTAAGTACACACATATTTATTTAACAAATGTGTGTTTCAGACACTGCTTGGTAGTAGGGATATATGATGAACAAGGTCAACATTATTTCTTTTGTCCCTGCATATGATGGCCTTAACATCTACATTGATGCTTTTCATATTTGAATGTACACATGAATCACCTGAGGATTCTGTTAAAATATACATTATGAATCTGCAGATTGGAATTGAGGCCTTAAAATTCTGTATTTCTGACAAGCTCCAAAGTGATACTGATGTTGCTGATATAAAGATCATACATTTAAGTGACAAGGTTCTAGATGCTAGTATAGTAAATATTTACTAGTATAGTAAATATGGTAGTTACTAAGCCACTCATGATATATTTTTCTTAAGAAGAGAAAGTTGTGAAAATAATACTCATTATAAAAATATTGAAATGATTTAGAAAAGCTTAAAGAACTGTATTAGACAGCTTTTCTGATAGTAGGAGAAAATCTCTGACACCCACAATTTAAAGGAGGAGAGGTTTATTTGGCTTACAGTTTCAGAGGATTCAGTTCATGGTTTAGCTGGCTCCAGTGTGGGAACATGATGGTAGAAGAGTGTGGCAGAACAAAGATGCTCAGTTCACGGTGGTGGGAAAATACATAAGGGAAAAGTGCCAGAGAGGAAGGAGCCATGGACCAGATATATTGCTCAAGACCATGCCTCTGTGAACTATCAGCCACATACAGAAGTATGCTTTACTAATCCCTTTGATTGCCAAGCTAATCAAGTTGATGACCTCTTAACTATCATATCCCACCTCTTTTCAACTTAACACCTAAACACATCTTTAAACCATACTTAATTCCTAAATAAACACAGTAACAAGTTAATTCCACCTTACGTTATAGCTCATGCATGTAGTCAAAAACAATAATTTTTTCCCTTAAAGTCTCCACAGTTCTAGTACTTCTCAAAATTCCAAGTCAAAATCTCCTCGGAGACTCAAGGCAAACTCTTAAAAGTGAACCTCTGTACAATTTAAAAACACAAGTTACTTAATCCCAGTATAAAAGGTTACAAGGTAAATATTCCCATTCTAAAAGAAAGTAATTGGGAGATAAAAGAGAAAAGGACCAAAAGCCAGTAGGGCAGACGCTGAGTCCTCTAGCTCTGTGTACAGCATCTGGGGCACATGGTGGTAAAATGTGAATTCCAGAGGGCTTGTGTGGCTTCACCCTTATGGTCTTGTTTGTTGTAGACCACATGGCTGGCTCTACTCATGGCCTGCAGCTTTACTCAGCAGATGTTAATGGCTTCTCCAACTTCTTGGGGCATCCACTATACATTTGGCTTCATTCCCACAGCTTCTCACATTGCCTTCTTAGGGGCTCCCTTCTTAAATTCCCAGGCCTGTCATGACCCTACAACTCTTACATTCTTTATGCTGGTAAAACTAAAATGTGGGCAACACCAGTATCTGGTGCCAGCTTGAGCAATAGCTAGGCCCCACTGGACCACAGCTGCAATGGCTTTTGAGTGCGTGGATGGTTGTTCACAGCGAATGAATCCTGTGAAAGCAGTTCCCTGGGCTGCCTTTCTCCAGTAAGGGGACTCTATTCTCAAATGAAAGGTTGATACTTTTGCACACTTGAGCCTTTTGCGTGGAGTCTTCACTGATTTCTGAGATTTCCTCAAGGCATCTTGTTCCTATACAAAGTATTTAGTTTCTTTTTAATGGTAGAAAAATCTCTTCAGCCATAATGCCCTTGGCCCCAACTTTACACATAGTTTCTTTTGGGCCAGATATGTTTTTAAAATTCTTTCTGCTTAAAAAAAAAAAAATTCTTTCTGCTTTTTGCTCCCACTAATAATCTGGCTACAAGCATCCAGCAGTACTCATGCTACAGTGTGAATGTTGGGCTGCTTTGAAATTTCCTATGCCAGATCAATTAGTCCACCACCCTTAATCTGTCTCCTGCAAAGTCTTAGAACATTGATAAAATGCAGACAAATATTTTGTCAGAGTGTAACATGCATAGCCTGTCTTTGAAATTTTGCAACAGAATCCTTGTTCCTTACTGAGACCTCATGAGCCTAACTCTTACAATCCACATTGCTTTGGGCATCTGATCAGATTTCTGGTCAGAGTCATGCTTTGATCTCTCTAGACTTTAGTAGCCTCCATCTCCCAACCTTTCTACACTTCTGCAATCCAATTCCAATGGATTCTAAAGTAAATGGACAGATAGTCACTATAGTGACTACTCATGATACCTATTTTCTATATTAACTTTCCCATCACTGAGGCACAATACTTGGCACCCACAACTCAAAGGAGATGTTTCATTTGGCTCAGGCAGTTCAGACCATGGTTAGCTGGCTGCAAAGCAGACACATCCCGGTGGAAGGCTTTACTGGAAGTGTGTAGCAAAGCAAAGATGCTAAGTTTAGAGCAGCTGAGAAACAGCAGGGGAATAGTACCTCTAGGTCTTTGATCTAATCCTGTGATGTTAGTACAGGGTGAGAGATAGAGCTCTAATTTCAGTTTTCTACATGGGGATATTCAGTTTTTCCAGCACTATTTGTTAAAGAGGAGGTCTTTTCTTCAAATGTATGTTTTTGGCCTTTTTGTCAAATCTCAGATATCTATAGGTACATGAGTTTATATCTGTCTTCTGTCTTGTTACATTGGTATATATGTCTGTTTTTGTACAAGTGCCATGATGTTTGGTTCGGTTTTTTGAGACAGGGTCTTGCTATGTAGCTCAGGCTGAACTGACTGTGTAGCCCAGGCAGGCCTTGAACTTGCAGCAGTCCTCCTGCCTCGGCCTCCAAGTGCTAAGATTATATGCATGTGCCACCATGCCTGGCCATCCAT